GCACGCCTGGTGTGTATTTGCCATCTTTGGTCCAGCCCATAGATTGATCCGTGTGCTGGACCATCTGTTTCCCCCCCTCCACCCTTCCCCACCTGCTCTGTGTGCTGGGAGGCAGACTCTGACAGACTGGATCAACAGATCCCCTTGCCCTCTGACTTGCGTTTGGCCACTGGGAGGCAGTGGCAGGAGGGCAGAGGATGGGAGGAGAACGATGTCGGGATATTTTCCCCCGACTCCCTCTCTGCTGGGTCACCGTGGTTTATTGAGGGCCACATCTCCTTTCAGGCAGCCCACTCTGTACATCTCTCCTCTACAGGTTCCAGTAACTGCCCCATCCCTTTCCCCTTCGGGCCAGGCTCCTTACATCCTCTCTTGCTGGTTTCCCCAAATCCTGCCCACACCTTTGTAAACAGCCCTTTTAATACATTGCCCCCAAATTACTGAAGTTAAGTGTTCCATCTCTTTCCTGCAAGGATGCAGACTGAGGCAGTCTGTAATGCCTGGGAGGCTTGTTCTGGGTGAGGTGTTAGAGTCACTAATGGACACCTTTGTCTCCTCCTTCCTCAAAGTCAAGGGCAATGTGACTCCTACACTCTACAAGATACCCAGCTTGCAGCATGTCATGGGGTGTGCTCAGATGTCATTTTTATTCATTTTTATTGATCAACCCCCCAGGGGAAATGATGGTGTCTCCACTGTGGTTTATAAGTACATCCAGCTGTGAGGCGCTCCAGACGGGAGCTTTCAGGAATCAGTAGGAGGGAACGACATCTCTGGTGGTTCTCTCCAGATGGTATTGTGGCAGGTAGTGAGAGCTGTCATTTCCGAGAGCTGTTGGTTGGAAGTGGCTGCGCACCAGGTGGCCTGGCAGGACAAGCGCACCCACACCTGGGGTACCGCACGCTCTCCACCCTGTTCCTGCCTCTGCCTCCCTGCTCCCCAAGGCCTTAGAGTGTACACCCTGAAAACAAGCTCTGTGGTGTATTATTAGATCCTCCCGCCCCTACAGTGTGCTGGAGGAGGTGGAGGAGGAGCTGTCTACTGCCTTCCCAGCAGGGCTTCTTAAACTTGAATGAACATATGAATCACCTGTGGATAGTGGCAAATCGTAGATTCTGATTCAACAGGTCTGGGGTGAGGGCGGAGATTCTGCATTTCTAACAAGCATCCTGGTGATGCCCCTGCTGCTGATCAGGGCACACACTTGAGTGGCAAGGACTTAGAGACGAGCCCTCTAGGACGGTAGCCGCTGCACACATGTGGCTGTTTACGTTTACTGCCCTTTCTTTGGTTTTCATCTCATAATCTCATCAACTCATCATAACTCTTCGAGATTCTGGTGACAGAAACCCAACTCAAAAGGTTTTTAGCTTAAGTCAAAAATAGAAATATATTGGTTTTCGTGAAACTGGAAAGATAGGGAGCTGGCCTTAGGAATGGCCGGGTCCAGGGACTCAAATGATGTCACCCTTGTCATTGTCACCACCACCACCGTCATCATCTTTCTCCTTCAATTGCTCCTCTGCCTCTTTTCTTGATTTCTGGCCTCATTCTCCCCACCTACAGACTACAGACTGGCTTCCTCTCGCCGGCAGGGGCTTTGGCTGCTGGCAGCTCCACGCTAACATTGTCACACTTGCGATCTAAATGGAACAAGGGAGCCCTTTCTCCCAGCATCTGAGTGCTCCTGCACCTGGTCCTGTGAACAGGGAGCTGGTGCACCATGGCTTGCCTTGTGGGAGGGAATTGGGCAGCCCCCCGGAATCAGATGACTGGAGGAGGAGACGAGTGAACCCTAAAGGAAGAGATGGTACCCGCAGATGTTCACTCCACTGCTCTCCTCCACCTCAGTGAGAATGCTGTCCATCTAGTCCCCTTAAGAACCTCTCTCCCAGTTTCTGCCACCCTTTAATCATTCCCAGCGGAGAAAAGATAGCTTGACATATTTTGCTGGCTAGTTAAAAAAGCACAACCATCCTCCCTGTGTATTTTCATTGCAACCAATTATCAAGGCTTTTTCTTTGGTGCAGAAATTAAAATAAAAAGACACCGTTCCGGCTAGGTTTTCCCTTTGGTGTCTTCAGGCATTTGACAGCATCTCACACTGCTTTGCTTGAAGAATTTATTTAAATTGCTCGAGAGAAGCAAGCGGAATTGCAAGGATGGTAAATAACAGGAGGGGAAGACAGCTGCCGCCAAGGCAGAAGCTGGAGGCCAGGTTTGGTCTGATGTTATTAATGGGCTGGAAGGACAGGACAGCACGGGGAGATGAAGTCTGTGGAAGGTCCAGTGCTTGGAGCACAGACAGGAAAGGCAGTGCAGGCAGGGACCAGGAAACGAGTAGGCTAAAGCCCTTTTTAACTTTTTTTTTTTTTTTTGAGGAAGATCGACCCTAAGCTAACATCTGCCAATCCTCCTCTTTTTTTGTTGAGGAAGACTGGCCCTGGACTAACATCCATGCCCATTTTCCTCCGCTTTATATGGGACGCTGCCACACCATGGCCTGAAAAGCGGTGCGTCGGTGCGTGCCCGGGATCCGAACCAGCGAACCCCGGGCCGCCGCAGCGGAGCGTGCGCACTTAACCGCTTGTGCCACCAGGCCAGCCCCCTTTTTAACTTTTTTTTTAATAAGAAAAGTACAGGTTGGATATTTGGGATTCTTTTGGTGGGGGCGTAGGGGAGAGTTTGGGGGTTTTGGGATGGAAGGAGAGAATTGGTTACATATGGTGAAGTCTCCAAAGTCAGATGCATAGGTGTCTGGAATATTGTCTCCTAGACCTGGACCCAGCTTCCTCCTGTCTGCCCTCTTCACACAAACCTCCCCTCCGTGCGTGGAAAGGCAAAGCCATCACACTGCCTCGCCTAATGCCACTCTCCAGTCAGAGTGGCCCGAGGGGAAGGAATGTTTGTGGAGCACCTACTGTGTGCTGGGCACTTTGCATTCATGAACTCAGTTAATCCTCACACCAGACCTACGGCGAAGGTCTGCATCTCCAAGTTTCAGAGGAGGAACTAGGGCCCTGAAGAACATGAAGTCAATCCCACAAGATCACCTAGATTGTCAGCAGTAGAGCTGGGATTTAAACTCAGGTTTGTCTAACTGTAGGGCTGGCACTTTTCACCCATCCATCCATCCTTCCATCCATCCATTTTTCCCTCCATCCCTCCATTTATCCATCCATTTCACAAATATTTATGGAGCATCTCCTATGTGCCCAACACTGTGCTAGGCATAGAGGACGTAAGAGAGGGGACAAGATAGACATAGTCCTTGCCCTAATGGAGTTTGCAATGCAGTGGGATTAAAGAGAGTAAACAAACGCATACATGATGACACGTTGTGAAAAGCAAGAGATGGAGGAAAATACAGTAGGGTTAGAGGAAAGCATGCCAGGGCTAGGGTGAGGCAAATGAGGCACTTAGGATGCAAAATTTAAGGAGGCGCTCACTCTCAGGGTCCTGCAAGGGCAGGGTTGGCACTTGCATGACCTCAGCTCCTTAAATTTTGCACTCTTAGGTGCCTTGCTCACTTCACCCTCGGCCTGGTCCTGCAGATGCAGAGTTGTGGAGGACAGGTGACATTTGACCAGAGACACCAGGAGCTCTTGCAGTGGTTTAGGGGGAGTGTGGTATCTGGAGCATGAGTCGGTAAGGGGGCCGGAGCAGATTCCACTAAGCAGAAGGTATCCTTGCCTCCTGGCTATGCCACAGACTGGAGGAATGCAGGGGACCAAGGGATGGAGAATGAGGGAGGGGTGAAGGAGGTCGGGGGAAGAGTTTAGTGGGCAGGTGTCTGTAAGGCAACGAGAGCCCACAGCCAATGGCTGCTGCAGGACTGTAGGGTTTCTCAGGCAAGGGCTGGAGCTCTCCCACAACACACTGTGTTTAACCTCAATATTGAGAGCATCTTCCAGAAAAGGCCAGCCTCTTTTGAATCCCTAAGTTTTCAGTGTTTCCTGTATTTGGGGAAGTGGGGGGAGCGAGGAAAGGTCCTTTGAAGAATATGCTTACACATGCTTTATACACATGCTTAGTTTAGATAAACTGGCCAAAAGTCCGTAAGTCTCTGTAAAAATGAAACATCTAGACCAAAGATTCCCAGAGTGGGGTCCCTGGACCAGAAGCATCAGCCTCACCTGGCAACTGTTAGCAATGCAGATTCTTGGGTCCCACCCCAGACCTACGGATTCAGAAACTTTAACCAGCCCTCCAGGTGATTTTGGTGCCTGCTCATGTTTGGAAACCACTGCTCTAGAGTGTTCATCCATGAACAGTGAGGGACTCTTTAAACCTCACCTGGGCAGAGACACAAAAGCTGGCCTTCTCAGAGACACGGCAGTGTCCCAGTCACCAGCAGCCCAGGGAAGGGAAATGACTTAGCTCAGGTCACCCGAGGATGAGCGGTGGCGCTGGGCACGGCCTGCAGGTCTCGTTCCACTCTCACGCTCATTTCCGCAGTATTTTATGAATCTATTTGTGAAGACCCTGGAGAAGGGAGGGCCTATCACTTACTTCTCTATATCAAAGAGAGATGATGAAGATTCCCATGTGCATGTTTACACCCTGTTTTTAAAGTCCTGTGTGCGACATCAGACTTCACCAAGATGGAAAATGAGAAATACGGTCAGCACGGATTTGAAATAGGAGGTGGCTGAGCTGGGACCCTCATGCAGTGCTGTGGGAGCCAAGCAGCAATGAAGACCGAGGAGCAGAGGAAAACGTTATAAAAATGTTTAGTTTTTGCTTTATTGAGTTACAACAAAAGAGCGACAAGTTAGAAAAATTGGTTTTTTTTTTTCCCAAACTCCCTAGCATTTTATTTGTGCAGTGGACTCAAATGGGGGCCAGTGGGGGAGGGGAGAAGGATTGCAAACACAATTCATATTGCAACATTTACACCAGATAGGTCTCTTGGTTTTTCTTCTTTAAAAGTTAGGACTAACTGGAAAAAAAAAAAAGGGCACTCAGGAATCTAAAATTGGCCCAAAACAAAAAAACAGAAAGAATCAATTGATGGTGAGGCTTCAAGCTGAAATCTTGTCAAATACCACACTGAGAAAAGGCAGTTAGGAACAGAAATGAAAACCAAATGAAACAAAATGATGAAATGAAAACTGTTCATCTTTGTACCATCTAGATAGGAAGATCTCGTTTTGTTTTCATTTCACAGAAGTAATGACAATGTTGACAAATGTGGGAGCCCTTTCTGCTGGTATCTAAAAAGGTGCTTAAAAATGACAGCCACCTGCTACCCAGTTCTCCCGGTGCTGGCTGGGCCCACGGTCTGACCTGAGAGGCCGGGCCGTCGAAAACCAGACCTGCCTCTTGGCAGCTCAGAAAGCCGTGTGCGTGGCTAAACAGGACCCCAGAGGCGGCTGGGGGAAGAACTGGAAACAGATTTGACTTGGAAGATCCGCTATTTGTAAACCCTCTTCAAGTTGAGACAGACGCTCGAATCCCAGCCGTTCCCCACCCCGAGAAATCTCCCAAATTTCAAACTACCTTTAAAAAATGAACTCCCCCTACCTAAAATCCAGTAGATATAATGGCACTAATGCTAACACTCCCCCCTCCCCCAAATTAATAAAATAAAAATAAAAAAAGAAAAGGCAAAAAGAGAAAAAGCACGTGTGATCAGCCCTCCCTCCTGGAAAAAACCTTACAATGGTAGTGCTGGAAAAGAGAGTTGCCCTCGATTAAAAAGGTAACAAAATTCCCACATTGTACAAATCGGTTCCAGTATAGCAAGAGGCGGGGGCCGGGGCAGAGGAGCAAACTATTTACAAGGGCGCATTGAAAACGCAGTAGTAGGACTTTGGCACTATGAACAGTTCCCACCGGTCCTCTGGCAGGTGCGTGTGAAAGCAGCTGGGGTTCCCGCACCCTGCAGGCACACGCAGGCTAAGTATTTCCACTGGGAGTCAGTCTCTGGCCAGGATGGCCGGTGGCCGGAGAGGGAAGTTCTCTTCTTTCTTCAAAGACAGCACAGCAGTTATCAGCACAGCAGTCCAGACGGACCTCCCTAGAAAGATGACACAAACACAGAGACAAGATGTCAGGGAGATGATCGTCATTCCCTGGGTGGATGGCATCGGTGGCCGCCTCTTCCTGGCTCTCCCAGCGAGGAGGCCTTCCGAAGCCATCCCCTGGCTTGGAGGAGAGACCAACACCCTTCAAGTTTGGGGCCTGTTTTAAGGGAGAGTGTTTCCCGTGCACAGTCTGACACCATGGGAAACGCCTCCAGGATCAGGCCTTTGAAAACAGGATGACTTTCTGGGCAAAGGAAGGAGGTGGCCTGTGATTCTTTTTATCTTTACAAGACCCTTTTCTTATTGCTGGAGAGGCAGCCAGTCACAGTGGTTCCTAAAAGGCCCTAGAGTCAGACAAACCTAAATTTGGGTTCTGACCTTTCCACTTGCTGGCTGTGGGGCCATACACATGTGACAATCTCTCTAGGGCTTCGTTTCACTTCTGCAAAACAGGGATGATAACGGCATCCCCCTCGTAGAGCTGTTGTGATGATTAAATATGTAGATATACGCACCAGCATTTGGAATAGTGCCTGCTACACGGTATGTATTATACATGCTTTCATTGTTTTTGTTACATGGAGCCTCTTCCAAACATGGTAGGATATATAATAGTAATCATAATAAGGTGAGACATTTTACGTGTGTTTTTAATTTAATGTTTATATCAATCCTCGGAGGTGTAGGTATTGTTATTCCCATTTTACAGGTGAGGAAACTGAGGACAGAGAGGCTAAATAATTTGCCCAAGATCACACAGCTACTAAGTGGCAGAGCCGGGATTCAAACCCAGGCAATCTCCAGCGTCAGTGCTGTTAACAAACAGTATTTATTAAGAGTCACTATGGAGAAATGTTTAATTCTTATATACTGTGAAGTGATGGAAATAGTCCAAGGACCTTGCTATGGGTTGAGCTGTGTCCCCTCAAAAAGATATGTTCAAGTCCCAATCCTCAGTATCTCAGAATGTAACCCTATTTGGAAATTCTTTTACAGAGGTAAGTAATCAAGTTAAAATGAAGTCCCTATGGTGGGCCCCAACCCAATATGGCTGATGTCCTTATCAAAAGGGGAAATTTGGACACAGAGACAGACGTGCAGGGAGAAGGCCATGTGAACATGAAGACAGAATGCATGTGATGCATCTACAAGCCAAGGATTGACAGCAACCTACCAGAAGCTTGGAGAGAGGCGAGGAACAGACTTCCCCCTCACATCCCTCAGAAGGAACCAACCTTGCCAACTAGACTTCCAGTCTCCAGACTAGGAGAGAATAAATTTCTGTTGTTTCCGTCACCCAGTTTGTGGTATCTTATGGCAGCCCTAGCAAACTAAGACAGACTTTATGACCTCTGTGGGCTCCTGGGATCCAGAGCTCCTGGGCAAGGAACCCCAGGAGAGGGCTCAGGGGCGTAACAGATGCAGCCAGTATTCCATGACAGGCTGGCAGTTGATCAAATCTGTAGATTCCTGAAGCCCCTGGCTTTACTTCGCCTCCTTCCTGGTAAGGTCATGTTACGGCTCAGCCACTTCTCACTAGGAAGGTCCTAAGAAGTGTCTTTTGTACAGGGGACCAAGAGCAAGAAGACCAGACTTCGCAGCCAAAGGCATCAGCAGCCCATCTATATTGTCATTCATTCCTAATATCTAGATGCCAAATGTATCCACATTCCCTAGATGCTCCTGATAATAAGTCTCAATATTGGAGTTAAGAAACCGATTTGTAAAAGAAACGTCTATGGATAAAATCAGATTCTGGGGGTGTCCTTGGGATCTGGGACCACCCAAAAGTGACCCAGCAAAAGTCACTGAATCATGAGGGCTACAGGGATCCTTATGGGTGACGTCGCCAACATCACTCATCTCACGAGGGAAAAAATGGAAGCTCAGGGAGGAAAAGTGATTTTCCCAGGGCACATGACTGCTCAGCAGCACAGTCAAAAACAATAAGGATCATGACTGTGACAATGAGAGTAGCTAATATTTTTCTTACTTATTATGAGCCAGGCCTGATGCTAAGGATAATCCAGGTGATCTCATTTATTCCTTACCGTAACAGGAGGGAGGCGACTGTTAGGCCCACTCTGCAGTGCAAAATAGAGGCTCAGAAAGATTAGTAAGGGCTGGAGCCTGGATTCTACCTCAGCCAGTCCACCTTTAACTGTTCCTCCCTACACCTGACCCAAATCCAGGGCTCCCTGTTTTGCAGGCACAGCCACTCCCTGTAGGGAGCCACCAGGTACAGGAGAGAGCATGTCTGCTTCAAAGGTAGGGGCTGCTGGTCCCGTGCAGAGCCACCTGCACCCTGGTGGGCACAGATGACAGCCAGCCTCCTCCTGTGCTCTCCAAGGAACAGGGTTTTCCCACCAAATGGACTTCCACCGCCTTTGGAAAGGAAGCTGCCTCTGATTGGACGTCCACCTGAATAGTTCTCAGGACTCCAGGAAACACAGCCCATGGTGGGTAGACAGCCACCGCTCTTCCTTCTCCCAACCAGGCTGAAGAAGGCCAGGTCAGCACAGCACTATGGGTATTCGTCATGGTGGGGCGGAGTGGAAAGACCTGTGGAGCGGGAGAAAGCTGGGATCCAGGGTCTGCCACTTCCTAGCTGTGTGCCCAGGTCAGTTACCTAACCTCCCGAGACTCGCTTCCATCATTCACCACCAACGCTGCTGGGAGGGTAACAAATGAGGCATGCAGAGGATACGGTGCTCCACAAATACTGCTTCATTTTTCCTCGAGGCAGGCCAGGTGTAAAATTAGGGCCTTCGGTGTAAGCGAGCTTGCCTGTGTGTGTGTGTACATTTTCCTTCTCTCATATCATAAACAAAACTGAACCCTGTCTCTTTAAGTGATTGGCAAAAACTCAGTTTTTAGATAAACCTCAATGTTAAGGTAGTTCTTCTTCCCTGTATAATTTCATGAACAGGTATAGTCCTCCAACCATATGTATTAGTCAAGGAAAGAATGCTGGACAAGGCCCCTTAAAAAAGACCCCCACCCCTCAAAACAGATTGTAAGGCCAAAAGGGTGACCTAGAGAAAGGAAGACAAAGCCATTCTTTTTTTGGCCTTTGCAGATTTCCCAGATGTCTGTGCATGGCTCCAGGCCCTGGAAGCATCCTCGGAACCTCTGGACCTCAATTCCTCTTTGGCATCTCCCAGCGTGTGTAGCAGTGGGCAGGACTCAGGCTGTGGGAGCTGGCAGCACTCTCACAGTGAGGCTGGGAAGACGCTGGAAACAGAGGGCAGGGGCGGTTTTTCCCTCAGGGACACAGCTGAGGCCCAATCGCCATCCCTCTGGCAGCAAGTCCCAGCTGCAGGCCCGGAAGGCCTTGTTCCAGAACGGCAGGTCTCCTTGTTAAAAGTTCCCGCCCCGGGGCTTTCCCAGCACAGCTGTTATCACGCTGTCTTCAAATTGCCTGGTTAATTGGGACATCCTGTGAGGCCCGTGATGACATGGACGGTGCCCACAGTGTTCACCGCTGATCCCTGCCACCCCCTCCCCGCACTGGGTCTGGCCCACACGGGATATTCAAATGTTTGTTAACGAGTGAAAAATGGGAAGAGAGCATGGTGCTGTTAGAGGTGGCTGATTACACGAGGTTGGTGACAAAGTTCACATTTCAGGTTTTTTTTTTAGAGTATCCCAGTGATTTTGAGTCTGTGGCCTCTTGCTAATCCCCTGTGCTTCTACCTGGAATCTTACCACTTGGTCAGAGACATTCCCCACCGCAGAGAACCAATGACCTGATAGATCCCTTGATCCTCCTGCACCAGATCTCAGCTTTGGGAAGAGACTGCAGGGTCATCAGGTCCATTACCTTATGGCCACTATTTGAACATTTCTACCATGTGGACGTCCAGCCTCTCCCTGAGGCTGAACCCTGCCCAGGACAGGGAGCCCACTGCCTCCCACAGCCATCCCTTTCTATCTTGGGGGCAACTTGGAATGTTAAAAAGTACTAATTCTTTAGCAAAATCTACTTCCCTATTACTTGACCTGTTGGGGAGACATGAAACAATTAGAATTCTTTTCCCATGTGATAGCTTTCTCTTTCTTTTTAATTTTCCGTGTAGGGATTTCCCGAAGGCCTGTGGACTCGGGAGAGAAGAACATCATACTCCATGAAAGAGAAAGACAAGCACTATGATAGTGATTTATTATCTCTCAATAATACTTCTGAGTCAGACTTTCTTTTACTGGGAGGGGGCATGGTCTGATTTTAATTAGAATGGAGAAAAGGAAAATATGGTGGCATGGAGAAGGACTAAGCAATTTCCCACTGGACGGGGAAAACTCCATCCCATCCCACATTGTCCCCACACCAGGCCTCAGTCAGCTCTGGAGTGACTGGCCAAAGCTCTTCCCCTGCAGTGGTCTGGGGAGCCTCTGGGGCTGGGGAAATTGACGAGACTTATAAGCCAGGTAAATCTTTCCCAGGCTGCTCCCAGGGAGGCTCAAAGGCAGAAGGAATCAGAGGGGCCACTGGCCCTTCCTGCTCCTTTTCCATCAGTGGATATTATCCAGTGGAGTTCAAAGAATTTGAGCAAATGGAAGTGTATTTCAAACTCACTAGGCAGACTCCCAATGTGGTTATGGGTTTGGAGCCAAGCTTTACCACTTTCATAACTCAAGGATGTTGGACCAGTTACCTTTCTGTGCCTCATTCTCATCAGCCATAAAAGAATAACGTCTTCAGAGAGTTGTTAACACACGTAAAGTGCTTGAGCAGTGCCTGGCCACAGTAAGCGCTCAGCAAATGTTACCCCTTGTCGTTGCCCCAGGACCCCTGCCCCCAAGATGCAATTAACACCCAACAGCATGAGCTTGTACCAGTGGGGCCCCAACTGAAACAGTCAACTTGGAAAGGCAGGAAGCAGATGGCCAAGCTCTTCCTCACATGGAGAAGAGAGTGCAACTTCAGAGTCGGCATCCACTGAGCAGGCACTGATGCTAATGCCAGACGCATTTAGGAGCTTTTACTTATATT